TCTCAAGCGTTACGATGTAGTAGACGACCTCGCCTACGATCACATGCTCCGACCATTTTATCCACTCGTCGACATAGAACCATCAGCATACGGTAGCCACAACGCTCTTCTCGTCGCGTTTCGAACAAAAGTGTCAAGATGGATCGTCCAAACCGAGACCAGGACATTGGAGCGTTACATGACATTTTTACCAAGTGACAAGAGAATGGCAGGTAGCGCCATAAAGTCGAAGGACATGCCGGAACTGCTCCAGCTCGCCTACTGTGCCACTGGTTTTCACGCTCTAGTATCCCACACCATCGAGTTGTCAAAAATGGTATTGGCCTGTCAGGAAAGCTGGGCCAATGAGTCAAGGCCATGGTTCCAGTGGCCCGAGGGCAAGAACCCTCATCGACCCTACGCACAGGATCCCGCCATTTGCCAGCTGTAGTAGCATCTCTCGAAGAGATAGTAGCCGAAGGAAGCCCTTGGACAACGAGGCTAGACGTCCACTGGACGCAGAATTATGGTTCTTGAATGAGTCACTAGGTTCTCTCGGCTGGATTAAGCTCTCAGCTATAAGTCTCAGCGGCAAATAACACTTCTAGCTCACAACTTAGACAGTGAATGAGTCACAGTCGATTGACAAGGTGCAGTCGAGCTTTCAGGCTTTGCGATTAGAGAAAGCGTGGCTAGATGCGACGCGGGATAAGGCCTTTGAGGGTCCCAAGATACAGGTGCAAAATTTAAAGAAGTTGCGTGGAACGCTGATGGGGTATATCAAGTTGTTCGATGGTGTTAGATGGTGGTGTGAAAGGAAGAGACGTTATTTGCCGCTGAGACCTGTGGCTGAGACTGAGAGCTTAATCCAGCCGAGAGAACCTAGAGACGTTAAAAGAGCGGCCAAAGATACATCTGTTTACAATACAGGGTATTACTATGTACTTGAACTTTATAAGAAATTCTATATTACTAGCCTCACTTTTGCGTAAAATGTCACTACTATTACTATATTGAAAGCTATTAGCCTTTATCATCTGCCCTACACTTTATCAGAGAAGAGTTCTTCTTTAACAAGCTTAACCTAATCAGAAGGTCTAAAAAAACATTTAAGATGCAGGTTATACCTAAGCATCAAAGAGTTCCATGAAACCTTTATTATTAGCATAACTCCCAAATGACTTGTGCAATGTCACCGCCAGAGCCACGTCGAAAACCAGTAGTTTTTATTGCTCGTCCTGTCCTTTATAAAGGAGTGTTCTTCAACGCTCTCGAGATAGTGCTCAATGACGCACCACTAAAACAGGGCTTGGCCTCTTTGGTAAGATAGCCTCAGCGGGCTATTGCATGCCAGCGCACAAAGCCGGACCTCACCTTCACATAGATTTCTAGAGTGAGATCCAATTTAATAACAATGTTTCTTTATTAGCTTGGCAGCACAAAGGCTGTAGATCTTTGAGAGCTGACGGGAATGGTGGTGCTTATGAAATACAATATATATTCTGTATAAAGGTTATCCATCTCTCCATCATTCAAACCCAAAACACTTTACAACAACCACTCTTAAGCTTTTATGCCGATATCAAACTTGGTTTATTCCCTATGGCATTAGCTCCTACTCTTATGAGACCTTGCATTTAAACAAAATCCACTATAAACTACGTCTCAGAGCCTCTAATTATCGTCAATCCAAGAGGAGAAACATGAAAACCTATAGAAAGCCACTGCTATATTAAGAAAGATTTTAAAACCAATCTCAGAATTATCTAACGACTTAAATTAAGTCTAGATAATTTTCTCTATTAAATAAACCTAAAAGGCATTATAAACTGTATATTATCTATAATATATATAATTAAACTTTAAGATTAATTAAATATAGATACTATAAAATATTATATTTAAAATTATTATATATTAATTTTATAAACTTAATTAACTTATACTCTCTTAACTATTAAAGCTTTTAATTATTAGCCTAAATATAATTTATTTTAATAAAAATATTAATACTTTAACTTTTCTAGCTAGCCTAAATAACTTAATTAATAAAACCTTTAATAGTTTAACCTTTTGATTATATATATAATCCTTTTTAAAGTTATTTAATAATAAGTTAATATCTTTTTATAATGCCACTTAATATATCCTTTAGCCTTTAATGACTTTTATAATATTATAATTTTATTTATTTAATTATAATTACCCTTTAATACCTTAATTTTAATTTTATTATTATTAACCTTTTTATTACTATTCTTTTTATTATTACCTTTCTTTTTATTATTTTCTTTTTTATTATTTTCTTTTTTCTTAAGTCTTTATAGCTTCTTTTTTTATTAATAAATAAAATATAATAAATAATAAGTATTTAATTTATTAATAGCTATATTAAATATATTATAGTTAAAAAAGGCAATTTTAATATAAAACTTATTATTAATATAATTACTTTTATTTAATAGTTTAATAATTAATTAAAACTTTTAGGTATTATCTTTTATATTAATATATAATTTAATTATATTTCTAAAATTAATAAAAATAATAAAAAACTAATAAATATAATTTTAAGCTTTTTAATTTATTAAGTTATTATTAATAATAGTTTAAATTATTATTAATATATTATTTATAAAGTTATATTATTATAATATATACAGAGATATATACTTAAGGTTATATCCCTTTATATACCTTTTAATCTCTTTACAACCTCCATGGTTATAATGGTTATTTTATGATACTGTTGCCTGGATTGAGATGTCTGATGGATCGTTACAAAGAAAAACACAAGCCACGAGTCACGAGCCAAAAACCACAAACCACCACACAAAACTACAAGTATCCCCGCCCTGAGAGAGTCTAGCCTCCACCATCCCACAATCTCGCCCACCAGGTACAACCCCGTTATTTAACCATCCTATCCTGCCGAACCCCAACCTATCATAGCCAAACCTCTGCCTTTGCCTACCTAACCGTACTCAAAGCTCTTATCTCTCTTCTCATTGCGAAAGTCACCAAGTAACCACGTGGACGTTGCAGTGGTCGGTCTGGCCAGACGATTACAAGCCGCTGCTGTCATAGTCCCATAGGTGAACGTATTGGCGTGCAATGACAGAGGGATTTATTGCTGAGAGTGGGGCGTGAAAGCGAAGAACAGGTTTCGGACATGGTTGTGCTTGGGGAAGAGGTGCGGATAGTGGATGGTGAGCTTTGGCCGGGAACTAGCCTGCTGGAGCTTGAGATTGGCGGTCGTATGGTAGGGGCCTGTTGATTTTGCTGTTGCTGATGGAATACTTGCTGGAGGATGAGATGCTGGAAGAGTTTATATGCTTTAGGATAATCACAGTCGGTTCGGCTCAGTCTGACCAGGAGGGTTTGACTGACTTGCGATTATCCTTGGCAAGAAGATATAGTTATGAAATAGCATACTATAGCAAAACCACACTATATATGAACGATTTAGTATTAACTTTGCAATTCTCATCGTTGCGACTTGGACAAAGTTAAGATGTATTGTAGTATAAATATAGACACAGTTACTCTGTATAAATGATCTCGACAGCTTCCCCCAAACACTAGGGTTGTTTTGGTAGTGGAGCTCACTTCGGGACTGGGATAACTAACACAGCAGCAAAAGCAAAGCCACGTCGGCCACCAAGTCCGTCCCGATCGTGAGAGTTCACACTGTCAAGTATGGGGTTTCCTCGATGCCATACCCCGAGATAATTGCCTGGGGAGATTTAATGAGGTCGGAGTGGGCGAGAAAAACGAGAGGAAACTACAGGCAGAACAACAGAGAGGTCCTATACCATTAAACTCTTTTACTGAAAAGCTTGCTCCTCTGGAGCTTGCTGATTTCCAGCAGCGCGAGGCGGGGAAGACTCGGCTTGGACGTCGGCCAAAAACTGTGGTCCACCTTAAGAATGATGGTCCAAAAAGCTACTGAGAGCCTCGACGCCGCCAGTGTCAAATGAAAGGAGCATTTCTACATGCTTTGACAGCGACCTGATGCTTTCAAGATTGCTGCCTTGGGCTTGGGTTGTTCCTGTTGCAGAGGAAGGTCTTTTCGGCATCTAGGCTGCTGATGACTCTGGTTGCGCTGATATCAAACACATCATTCTACAGGTTTTGCAAACGTGTAATTGGAGAATTCTCTCTCCCGCCCTGGCACATTATAAGCCGTAATCTCATCCCTTATAAATCCACTTACCTCACGTATAAGAGGCTCAAAAATAGGTTAGAGGTCTCACGCTTTTAAAGCCAATTAATTGCGATCATTCTGGGTATTGGGTGTTGTCATCGTTTCGCTTCCCTGCCCGCTAAGAGCAATAATATCGAGAGGTACTCGAGCTTGACCCAAGGTAATGCTAACAAAAATGCAAAGGTAACTTTACTCTGGCAGATATTAGAAAAGCAGCTACGTTGAGTATTATGAGCACTGACGGTAACTGTATACTCTTTGGCTTTCATGGTATTCATGACATTTAGGCCAATACCGCTAAGATTAAGATCGCAATTGAGTGTTGCTAATAATGTCCTTCTGCGACCAACAAATATCGACTCCGATGAGACACTGCTCCCGTTCAGCGAAAGTGCCTTTGACATACGACTTGGACGCTCCCGCGGGGCTTGACGTATTCTACGCGGATGGTACAGGGTTTAGCGATGACACAGGCCAGTGGAATGCCCATCGTCTACGTTTTCCCTCCCTCGTTAGGTCTTGGTAGCGGAGTACCATTGCGACACCAAGACCCTGGGCCAGGGGCTTCGAAGTATTCCTCACGTAGTCGACCGACTATAACCTGATATTGAGTCAAAGGGTGCTGTGACGACGCGGTGAAGCACTCCTCTTGGGGATGCGTCTTTGACACAGTTGATGGTGTCCCTCAACTGGCGGTTCGACGGGTACCGCTGTTGTGGGAATCCTGTGTCGTACAGCGATATAAGATCAGCTGGACATGGGAAGCATCCCCAGATAGATGAAGTGATCTGTTCAGAAACGACGACAACGAGACTCATCCATTAGCCAGCCGCGTCATAATCTCATGGACAACAGCTTCTTTAATGACCTTGAGTGACTCTTCATCAACTTCTCCTTCGTGGACAAAATCAACGACACCTCCAATCCTGTCCATGTCTTCACGCAATTCTGCCAACGAGCCGTCATAGGCATCTGCAAAGTCGTCATTCTTGGAATCAAGGGCCGCAAAGCGATCTTCCAAGGCATCGTATCGCTCTTGGAGATTGACCAGGCTTTGGGCCAGCTCCTTGTTTTGCTGCTTGAGCTTCTGGTTCTCTGTCTCCAAGGCTTCGACTCGACTTTGTACTTGTTTGACATCGACTCGGCTTTGCGCTTCTTTGATGGCGCGGAGTTCACCCCAGAGGAGGCTGATATCGTCGCGTTCGGTATCGGTATTGGTATCTTGGCGAGGGCGCTTTTTGCTCGCAGGCTGGATCGGGGGAGGCGGAGGAGGCGGGGAGGATGTGGTTTCTTGGTAAGATGGTGGTGGGGCTGTATCGGCTGCGTCTGACCAGTCGGTGAGCTTGCCTCCGATGCCGCCGTACATACTGGCGATATGGTACCGGGTGCTGCGGGCCCTGAAGAGACCTTGACTGGCTGCAGCGCTGATTTCTTGCATTTTGGGCGGCGCGCCTCGAGCATCGATGTGGATGGAGAAGGCGGTGGTCTTGGATAGATCACGTATGGCGTCGAGGACTACTCCGGAGGATCTTTTCGATGGAGATAACGGCTCGATAGCATCTGCGTGGACAATGACGGCGGGAGGACGACTTAGCATCAAGTCAAGACTAAGAGCGGAAGAGTTAAACGCCTCTCCTATTGCTGGGGGGACGGTCGGGCTCTTGACAGTCTGAAGAGAAACGATGGATGAGGCACAAACTCGAACAATGGCATCCGCGACGACACCAACACCCTTGAGCTTGATAGGCACAGCCAGCTCAAAAAAAGCAGCCTCCGCGATGAACCACGTCTTGAGCGTGATGGCACTCGATTTCGGATCCGGCTTCGTCAAAAACTGCATCGTACCATCCTCCGTTGCCCATGCCACCACGGCTTTCGTAGTATGCTGTACATCGAGCGACACATCGATCGGTAGGGGCGTTGAGAGTGGCATTTCTACGGTTAGTTCGTCTACCAGGATAGTCAACTTACCTAGCCACACCCGTGTCCAGAAAGGAGGAACAGCTTCGACGACAGGCGGCCTGCAAAGTCTCCAGCGAACTGCGAGAACTCTGCAGGTCCCTTCTACAGTCCCCGGTTGTTCCAGCAAAGGAGGCTCGACGCGCTCATTTGAAGGGTGCAAGCCGGAATTTTATACGGTCTGCAGCGCGAGTAGCCGCCTCTTTCTGGACGCGATGCCAGATGTCTTTTGAGGTATGCGTTGATGGGAGGGAAGAGTGATGATGTGTGGGAGAGGTGAAGAGCTGGAAGCCTGGAATTGAGGAGAATCAATTCCCACGGAAGAACCTCGGATGAAACCTCGGGAGTGGGTCGCCAAACATGCACAGTGTAACTTTAGCATTTGTCAGGTTTTACCACAGTACACCGACCCCATACCTCCTGCGATAAATTACAGGGGACCCCACTATAGCCAAGTTATTGCAGCGCATTTGTTGAGGGCTTATCGTCCATGTAACTCAGCTGAATTACCATGATTCGCACCAATACCTCGCCGTAGGAGTTAGTTCTATACAGATTGGACGAGAGCAGGAAGTAATCGCAACATCCCTCCCTTACTTCTTCCCTCGATAAAATCTAGATTTTTTTGATCGGATTGACCAGAGAGTCAGAAGTAATACTTCTATTACTCCGTACCTCTATCCCGCTTTTGGCGTGCCTTGACTCCAACGGCGCCACGATCAGAGCTGGCGTCCAAATAGGAATAGCCAAAGCCCATCATAGGCAGCTGTCTCTTTTGTGACCCATTTGCATCGCGTTAAGAAGAACAATTGAGTTCCAAGTCAATATTGGTCTACTTCATTTTTCCTTCAGTTGGGTTCCTTTGTCTCATAATAGCCTAGACGCTCCGACATTCTCTGAGCGAGGGTGAGGTCGTAAGCAAAGCATTTGGCGTTCGTTCGATGCGGGTATTGGGAGTATTCCAGGCTCTTGTTGCCGCGCCTGGAGCCTCCCTGTATTTCGTACCTATTGCGTCACGTCACGTCGCAATATCATGGGAAAGGACTGCACCAGGGTAGTGTCAAGGGTTATGCACTGGTCGCTTTGAGCTACGTAGTCGCTTTGGTCGAGTGTAAAAGCTTACAACTACTCTCTATTTCAGCCCTCAATGACGAATCACCCTTGTTGTCTCTCTTCATTATTTAAGAAGCTTTTCCGTCTTGACTAAAGAAGATACAGTTTACCTTTTCGTCGTATTCGAGCACACGACCGCGTTTGTTGTTGCCCCGCGAGGGCTCCGTCGAGTAAGAGCCCAGCTCGTACATCAGAGGCGTGAAGCTGTCGAATTTCTCCTAGCAGTCATCATCACGATGTTGTTCACACATTTGTTGGTGTCACTGCCGGTCGACCCGTTGTACGACGGGTTCTGCAAGACCTCCGTTTCCATGTGCATGTTCTTTCCAAGTCCACCTCTCTGAACGGGATTTTCTACTTCGTCTTGACGGTGTACCTGTGTTGCCACTTTATCTCACACTAGTACGCGTTGGCGATTATATTCTGCTTTCCACGCCCCTTCGTGCAGCAGTGCTGGGACGTGGTGCACATCGTGTTCGTCGTGAAGTCCCTGTTCATGTCCTCGTGCAAAATGATGCCCGGGATCAAGCTCGCACACTTGACGTCACTGTCGCAGAGATGATGGTGGACGGGACCCTGGTCTACATCGACACTCTGGTCATCGACGGGATCGCGCTCCCGAAGTCGAGGAACTACTCGAGTGAGCCGCTATCCATGAACGCGAGACCACACATGATCCTGCGCAACTCGTGGGACTCGGTCAAGCACTCGTCCATGGAGTCGGACGAGATTTTCTGCGTGACCAAGTCGAGGACCTTGCGCACGAAAGTGCCTATAATCGACCTCCTGTATAAACCTCTTGTATAAAGACCGGAAGTTGTACGGGAGTGGAGACCATGGTAACCGGTTAGTCTCATCCAGAGTTCTGCGGGCATAGTCAACGAGAGATAGCAAACCCTCAGAGACAGGAAGGAAAGTCTTAAAGGCTGGCCTCATTTCTAGTACACAGTGTAGTGGCTCTATTCCCTACTGGACTTGCGAATAAAAGACGTTGATTTAGTCTTTCGAGGGGGTTAACAATTAAACAAGCGCTTGGGCAACAGGCCTCGAACTTTGGCCAGAGGAGATTGATGGCGCTTGGGAGAGACATGCTCGCCCTTGCGACGATAAAGAGTGTTATCACGCTCGTGACCCAGGTCTTCCTTGGGGCATTTTTTGCTTGATTTAGCCATCCCATTGCTAGGTCCCTGGTCGCCGACGTAATGGAGAATATTGCTGAGTGTAGTAGTGGAAAAGTTACTTTCCGTCTTGTAATGTTCACATATATCGTGGTCATCGAGACCCTGCAGTGCCGAAAGCTTAGGTGTAAATTCAGCAGCACTATAAAATTTTTATGCGGCACCTGCACTTAGTTTGGTTGCGAGTGGACGAATCACCATCGCCGCTACGAAGACGACCACAATACTAACGTAGATATCTATGTAGCTTATATTCCAGGAGAGAAACCAGAAATAGTAAGCACTTATCGTCAAGCCTTTTGCTCAAACTCCTACATTGGTCTGAGGCTAGTCCTTCGCCATGACTCCGGGCCAGTTGAGCCAAGGCCACTCAGTAATATAAAGCCATTACAATCGATATCGTATGTCTCAAGATACTAAATTGACATCAATATCGCCCTTTGCTTATCGAGCCCTCTTCCAATTCCGCTAGCTAAAGGTCGATTAAGTACTGTGATTCGCTAGTAGTTAAATGACCTGGATTTCTGCTTGCCATTCTGACACTTAAGTCAAGTAAGGACGAGAGTAAACAAGATCCCTTATTATTTTTCAGGCAGTTGACTGCAAAATAGCTACTCTGATGATTAAGAAATAGCGTCTGGCAGGTAGTTGGGCCTTTTACCAGCCCGGCACGAATTAAACCCTCTACACCACCCTTTACACCATTACCCTGCAGCACAGTGCTGCATCTTTTACCTATAAGAATGTGCCAGAAGCTATCAAAATAGGAGAGATCATTTAGATCCATAACGACTATATTGAAGGATTAAATCTTGCGAGGAGATTAAGGTTAAAGAAAGATAAATAGTTATAGTCTATGAGCAGGAGCAAAAGCAGGAGCAAGCGCATAAGTATGCGATCAGTCACATTGCAGGCATAATTAACATAGACTTAGCACTGTTTCCAAAGCGGTAAGCAGGCAGGAAAATAGAGTTTGAATATTCTGCTGGAGATAACACAGGCGTCAGGACATAAGGCAATTTACAGGTGGCAACCGACAAACAGGGGCAGGCGACAATCTAGAATAAAAGAGTAAGATATAATCACTAAACATTATTTAAAAGAGAGCTTTGACAAGATGTTATCGGCAAGTTACGATTCCTAATGCCCATACTCTGCTACCCTAGGATGGCACGGCTCCGCTACGCGTATGCGGCTAAATATCGGCTTATTTAGCATTAAGACCCTGTTGCGCTGTAAGCAGCCCAGCCCTATCTGATTGGTCAGAGTGAACCCACTGCGCGACTTCGGTTAAACCGACCGCCACTTTTACTTGTGAAAAACAAGGCTCTTTCAATCAAAGCTGGAATGCTCGTTGTGACTAATCTACGCTTTATACAACAGACCCTGATAGGTTTTCTTACCAGGATCAGAGCAAAGCCACTTGATAAAATATGTTTGAGTGCATATTTTCATACACTGTCATCACGCTTTGGTGTTCACAACATATCCTGTAGCAAATCAGTCTTCGTTTCTACCATTCTCCCTCTCTCACGGCAGCCCCTGTCAATCTCAACCTCCGCTTAGGTTAGCTCATTTCCTCTATCACTGGAAATGGACTCGATGTCTCAGAGCAATTATAACAAACCAAAGAACACTCGATCTAGCACGCAAAAAGTACGGACGGGATGCATCACCTGCAAAAAGCGTCACATCAAGTGCGATGAGACCAAGCCGCATTGTAACAACTGTCTAAAGAACCGAGGACATTGTGAAGGTTATGCTACCACTAAGGTCGCCCCCAAGAAAGTGACCGGCCCGATTGAGCTTCGCTGGGATCTGAGGCATGGGGGTGCCAAAGCAAGCTCCAAGCTTGAAATACAGCTGCAAGTTCACCCAGACTCGGTTGACTTCCGAGATTGCACAGCACATCTCTATTTTCACGAGTTTGTAGGGCTGGTCAGAGGGCCTTGGCTCAATGCAGCAGCTAAGGACGACTTGTGGAGGGTGACCATGCCACAGCTCGCTCGCAACAACGACACATTTCGCTCCGCTGCTATGGCTATCGGTGCACTGAGTCTATGGCATCGTCATTCTGGTCGCAAAACGCTCCGTGCGGTATCAGTGCCCGTGCAACTGGTGGCTGATCAAGACAAGCATTATTTTCATGCTGTTGCCTACTACTGCTCTTGTTTAAAACTACAACGCTACCGAAGATCTCCTCAAGATGCAATTCTCCTATCTCTATTACTCATGTTCTTCGAAAGTCTTCGCGGCAACAGACAAGCTGTTTTCGACCATATAAATCATGGACTAACTCTATTCCTTACTCTCTTGACGGATCAAAATGCCCATCTTCTCATCGCCAGTTTAGCTCCAAATCCGAAGCCATTTCTCGCCGCCGTGGCAGATGTCTTCACTCTACTATCAGCGCAAGTACGGACTGTTCTTCGTGGAAGAGTCGGCCAAGGTATCTCTCTTCCAAACCTAGCAAAAGAGTTGAGTGATAGAAATCACTCGATGGAGACTTTCACGTGCCTGCTCACCCGAATGTCAGTCTCATCTATAGACACTCAAATCCCGGCTGTTTTCAACACTCTCGATGAGTTCGAGCAGTATTGGGCTTCCGGTAGTCATCGCCATACCAAAATTATATCTATCATGGCAAATGAATTACAAACATCAGCTGGGAAACGTTCAACCAATCATGATGTCAGTGACTCTTTCTTCTTGCAGCTTTTGGGAAACAGCCGCATTGAGGAGTTTTGCAAAAGTTCGGAAAAAGAATTCCAGTTGCTAGATGCTGCATTTCTGCCCCTTTTTGACAGAGCCATCATGACTGATATCGGATCACCGGCCTACTTTAGAGCTCTTTATTTACGCTTGCAGTACCTGGCCAGCTACGTGATTGAAGACCCCACAAATTATCTTATGTTTGAGACATTGCGCTCAAAGACCCCCTTCTTCCGGCAGTTTCTATCTCTGGCCGATACTATCTTACGAGCTTCCAGCCAAGAGGCCGGGAATCCAGCTTCTTGGCTGTCGTTACAATGTGGTCTCGTGTGGCAGATCTTCAACGTAGCATTGGTGTGCCGGGACCCTCTAACTCGGGATGAAGCGCTATGGTTATTGCGAGATTATCCTGGTCAGGACGGGCTATGGAATACCAGGTCACTTTACCTGTTGGCCTTGAGAAATCGCGATATAGAAAGAACAAATGCACAGGAAGGTACATCTGAGGAGCAGTGGCGGCGTCTATGGCGTCGTGAATTTGTTTTTGAAGAGGGCGGTAATCGTATCCTGCTTCGATATTTAGATAAAGATGAGGAGACTCGAGCTTGGCAGATGGTCGAGGAAGTCGCCGAAACCGGGTCGGGTTTTGACGACGTGGAATGGATACGACAACCACTTACTGGGTCAAAAGGATTACTCATGGCGGAAATATATTGCACTTGACCGTTCACAAGATGTTCCACATTTTCGTTTCATGGTATTCTCTTAACACTATGTCTTCATCATCTACTTTCTATTCTTAGTCTTCTCAAACTATCAGAATCTCTCACGATCGGCTCTATGTTATGTAACGGAAATGCATAGCACTAAGTACTAATACCTCCGACCAGACTCGCGTACTTGAGAGAATTTAGTGTCGCTGCGTACTGGTTTGCTGCGGGCGAAAGCGTAACGATAATCGTAGAGTTGCCACTCCCAGTCTTCAAAAAATGCTCCCGCAGCACCATGGTAAGGGTTGAGGATCGGAAAGGTATCCTCTCCTCATTTTGAGACCAAGCTCTTATGACCTCCTTCAGTGCCAACAGATCGGTATTTATCTGCCGACCTTCTTGGCGCTCTTGAGGTGTCTGCCTCATGGTTGCTGGTCCATTCTTGGTGCCATCACAATGCTCTGCACCAGCAAGGTCGACAAATACCATCTTCGCGCCAAGGCATGGGGATGTGCTTGAAGCGAGGATTTGTTCAATCTTGACTTCGGCATCCGTAACTCTAGCTTCAAACTGAGCCATTTCCAACTCGACTGCCTCTATCCGTTCTTGGTTTGGCCGGTAGTCCGGGTTAGGTGCCCATCCTCCATCAGATGTGCGGACGATGCCTTTCGACTCCTCTTCTATCTTGACATCTGTGGCACGCTTACCCACAGGCACAAGCTCAGACTGCCGGTCATAAAGAGCATAACGAGCATCGATTAGCGGCTGGCTCACAATTTCTAGCTCCAGTACTGCGTGAGTTCTGGAACTCTGATCATGGATGCTGGACGACCCCTCTGCACGTCGGCAGATGGCTTGGATAAGCGCTTCCTTGAGGTTTCCAAATTCCCAGCACGGACGCTGGACAATTGGGCAGACTCGCACTTTTCCTCCATCCAGAATTTCAGTCTTTCCACGAATATGGACGTTACCGTCAGGTCCTTGGCGAACATAACATTGGGTACGGTGATTGAGCAAATCAAAAGCGGACTTTTGACGCAGTTCAAACAGACTGAATCCAATACCCAGTTTCTCCTCTTTGTTTTCCTCATTGATAAAGCGTAGCGCGTCAAAGAGCTGTCTCGAGGCGGCTAAACATAGCCCGAGTTCTCCAGTATCTTGAAAGTCGTATCCAAAAACCGTGTGCGTCTTACCACTGCCGGAGTGACCGTATGCGAAGAGGCTACAGCTCTCACCGCGCAACATCTTCGGGATGTTCGGGGCCACAACCGCTTGGTATACATGTTGGTTATGATATTTGGGGTCGAAAATGGTATGAAATGCCGGCGAGCTCGTCCACGGGCGGCCCTCAGTTAAAACTCGAGGCTTTATAGCAACAGCATGTAGAGTGCCTGAATCCGACTTTGTCTTGTAATCGATCTCTCCAAAGCCAATTTCCGACCTTGAGAGCGGTCGCCACCGGGCAAAAACATTGATGGGGCCCATCTTGAGAGGAGTGTCTGTTGTTAAGGGAATTCTGTTTGCATTGCAGAAGGAAAGTTGCCGGCCATGTAATACGACAAGACATCTCTTTAAATATATACGGATTTATGCGGATGTTTAGGGCTAGAAGAGCCCTCGAGTAAGCTTTGTCTTTGTTTGTTTCCTTGCGTCTTGTTTAGAATAGGTAGTGTGGTTAATACTAACCGTAGCGCAACTCCACCACACTTAAATCATACATCTCTAATTGGTTCGCCTCTCGCTAATGCGCTCCTCGTAAACAATATTACCGCTTTCGAATTGTTACGACAACTGCTCCACCAGCACAAGGTGTGTCATCCCTCCTACAGGCTGTTTTGTTAATTTTTTTGGTCATGAGGGTTAAAGGTAAGTACCAAACAAGTGATTTACTCAAGTCGACTTCTTCATATGCAGTAAAACTATATTACTCCAAAAAAACGTTCATCTCTCTCTGTCTGCTATTTCAGACATTGCCTTCAAAAGGCGTGTAATTTCGCGATACCAGGGTGAGAATCTCGCCAAGAATCTGGAACTGGTCGATGAATTCCAGGAGATGGCCGCTAAAAAGGGCTGCACAGCCGGTCAGTTGACCCTTGCTTGACTGCTGTCTCAGGGAGACGACATCATCCCGATTCCAGGAACGAAGAAGATCAAGTACGTAGAGGAGAACACTGCCGCAGTGAATATCCAGCTGATGGACGGCTAAAAGAAGCAATTGAGGGATCTGGTGGATGCGGCAGCTGTTAGGAGAGATAGGGGCGTTGGCGACAGCGCCTTTACTGATATGCCAGAGCTGTGAAACCGTAACTTTTTGCTGGATTTAGCCACCCCATTATATTCTTCTAGCAAACAGCTCATTTCATCGAACCTTTCTCAGGTCTCGGCTTCGGATCAAGTGGTTATACTGCAGCCACTGCAGCCGCATCTAAAGCAACTCTGTGGGCTCCAGCAGTTATAAAACCAGAGAAGGCGGTAAAGGTAAAGGGGATGGGGTTCCAGCAGTTGACGCATACCGTCTTTACTAGTATAGTTCGCATCTAGACCATCTTTCGGCCGTCGCTTGATGTAATCTTGTCTAACGGTGCCTGTTGATGCAATCTCATTGCTAATGCCATACGATGCGCCGGGCCCAAGATAGATCTGGGGTGTGAGTGATCCATTCAGAAGGATCGATGATTATTAGTGACGCATCCTTGGTAACAGAACATTCATTGCCTCCTGTTCGATCAATGACATATTGAACAAAGACGACACTGATGGCCTCGGAGACATCCGCGGGCTGTTCCTCATCGGCCTCGATTTCACGGCCAGGCTGCAGATAAGATAGTTGTGAATTTAAACTGAGATAAGAAGAGATTTAGATGATATAGTATTATTGTCTAAATTGTGAAAGGGATTTGTTATTTGCAGTTGAGCTCTGTAGCCGAGAGATGATATCAGCGCACGGAACTTAGTATTTATGTTTTATTTCGAGATTTATCATTATACTCACCAGGTGGCTTCGAGCAAGGCCATAGCTTCCGCTATTCCTACCAAATTTACCGGCGCACCCCAACGATGATTCATCTGTTTAATGGAGCTATTATGTATCGCATTATAGACTCAATCTTATGACTCTATCAGGACTGTTTGTGTCCGCCCGAGTGCTCATCCACTCTCCATCAAATGTCCGCAGGAAAGGCCCTTTATCGCCTCGAGCTGGTCAGTCTCCCCAGCAGCACTCCTTCATATGTCGCTAGGAGCTAGAGTGAGCTCCATTTGCCTGTCCAAGGCTATCTGTTTGATCCGGTTCCTGCTGTAAGACTCCCCCAGCCCCCCATTCGTCCATGTTTTGAAGTTGCCGACCAGAAGCTTCTTCACCCTGAGCTGTGAAGTCGAAAGTGGACTCATCGACCGGAATCACAATAAGCGGCTAGGTCTCCGGTGGCTGAAGTATTGGAGAATATTGCTCAGTGTAGCCGTGGAAGAGTTGCTTTCCGTCTTCTAATGTTCATATACATCGTGGTCATCGAGACCCTGTACAGTTGGCTGAAACGTGCTGTACGAAATGGAATTCTGGTGTACAAAGGTAATAGACGTGATACCATTCCTTCACAATACGTCTGAAGATCAAGTGCACGATATCCAAGTCAGTACCTATATACTTGAATGTGGAAAACATAAAACCAAGGGCGAAGGAATCGGCCAATTCCTGGACTTATGTGCAACCGGGTTGAGTCTCGGTCGTATGTCAATTGATCACGGGAGGATTATGGGAAGACGAGCCTGGACCGCCTTGAACCTCTCATGCTTCCTCCAAGAATAGAAACCAGAAGCCAGTGATTGGTACTGCTTCGACCTCGATGTATTCAGTCGACCTTCAGGCACAGAAGACGGCATCGAATATTGAGGGATGGATGAGTCTAAGTCTAGGGCACGCCAGTATAGGAAGGTCGATGCTCGTTGAACTCCAGTGTGGCTGTGAGCGTATGATGAGGGAAGTGGCGAAAGCCCACCGTGCTATGGAGAGAACGGGCTTTCCGATCTACGGAGGAGTATTGAAAGGGTGAACATCTCCGTGCATTGTCGAGCTGAAAGAGACTTGTCCTTGTGAATGCAGGTTCCTGTCCATATCTGGCGCATTGGCGAACGCTCCGGCACGAATGGCACTTGATGTTATTGCATCCTGAACCACGTCGATCGAGAAATGGCAGCGGCTTTATCTTGAGCAAAGCATGGCTGCCATTAATTAGGGCAGGTCTGTGTAAGAGCTTTGCATCTGTTCCCCACCTGTAGTCGGTCGGGTGAGTGAACAAGCCTTTCCACCATCGCTGCTATAATTGGTCGTATGTTTGGCCAACTTCGTCGATGAAGAACTAAAGGTGCAGTGAAGGTCATGCTGTCGACCGTATGCTATGTTGCCATTTTTGGATCCAGTCGTCCTGGCGACAAAAACTCCTAGGGAGATGCCTTGACAATATTGGGCCAATTTAGCCAGCGGCATCACGTGGACCGAGCTTGACCGCGGAGATTGATTCCACCTTTGGTTTATGTAAGATGATTGGGTACTCGGTATTCCACCGGAGTCCGCCACCTAAGTAGCTGGTCTTAGGCAATAAATCAAGGCCATTCATGGAACAGGGAGACACGGGAGGCTCTTGGTACATCGCACGAATACACACACTAACCGCACCACCACCACTCCTGGAACTGGTAAGATGAGGTTTCAAATATGGTGAAAGACAAAATAAGTTTAAGAGCGCGAGATTCCTCAACGCAATTTGGGCTTGGGCTGTTGAAATTACGAGGGAAATTCGGGAAAGTCAAAGCAAAGCGTGTCATGTTTAAACAGGCCAGCGAAACAAACCATCAAAATCATGCTCTGGTCTGGCTGCAGATTGGTGTGCGGTTGATACTCAATCCTGCTCGTCTATCATCGGCGGGAAGCTGCATTAATAGGAAAAAAAGATTACATTACCCTGTCTTCGTTGTTATTTTTCTGAGCATTGTTGAAGCTGTTGTTATGGGGGCGGCTGACAAGCTCACGGTTCTGACATTCCAGTACTTGTGATGATGTTTGGGAACTGACAACTCAGCATGAAAGGCCCGCGCCGTGTAACCAACAAACATACATATCATCTCGTTTAGAATACTCACGGGAATTGGCTGTGGTTGCTCGGCCAGTTCTCAAAAAGTGCTGGGGAGAAGGGACTTACACAGCTAAAATTGTCATTCTGTTGACTGCTATTGAGATTGAGTTTCGGTATTAGTGTCGATTGATAGATTTGTTGGGAATAAACAGCAGATCCAAGATTATTGCCAGAAGGAATGAAGGATAGTTAAGAAGATGCATATCCATGATAAGGTACAAAGGCAGTGCACAGGCCACGGCCCGCGATTCTGGGGCTGGAGCATAGTCACTGGCAATCGACCTCATACGTAGGCTGCTACCCGTACAGCCGGTATCAATGACCCAGCCCCCAGTCGCTGAGCAGCGAATAGTAACAGGAGGGGCCTGGGGCGTTGTCGGTAGGGCTGAGCCGTACCGTTCAAATGAGAGAGCGCGTAATGAATGGGCGTAGTGACCTGTCGAGCAGAAAAACGTGGTGTAGAGTCCCAAAATCTGAAGCGAACGCGAGCTGCTGTTGCTGTTGGAAAGAATCAGCCTGCCTGCAACGGCAGCTTTGCACCAAACCTATCTCCAACAGCGTCAACATTATTTCCTAAGCACAACGCATCAGCTTCTTCCTTTTGATACAGCATAAATTCCCATCATGCAGCAACATGAGGAGCAAGTACGCTAGCTCTGTTCTGTTGGATTGCTGGACATGCGCGGGGCACCCACTGTCAAGCCTGCATCTACCCGTCTATCACATCTCGTCAGCCGCTAGCCAGTGCGGGACGCACTGGAAGCGTTTTCTTTTTGGTGCAAAGTTATCGGGTAGCGCAGATTAGACACGGGAAGTATGAGGAGGAGACGGCAGAGAAAGAAGTAAAATAAATGAAGGATATGTGATCGGTGCATGTGTCTTATGAAATTCCATCGCTATTCTCTGTTCTGTTCTGTCTGCAGTATTTTGGTCTTCTGTTCATGAGAATACAGCCTATTTCCAGAGTGTCTACAGTATACTCATACCCAGCTCATCTGTTTATGCTTTCTATGACCGTTTGACTCTACTCTCTGCTCTTTTAAGGATATACCTTACTGCTCTGTAATAGAAAGGCCATTACTATCACTCTCACCACACTTCTGCTCCATTGACATCATAGTCTACGACAGCCGCTCCATTTCCCTCAGATCTTTCATCATAGCTTCTAATGACGATGCCCAATGCGAGGTATACAGCACGTGGTACTCGCTTTCGAACTGGTACAAGCACGTGAAGCAGGGATGTCATCAGTGTGGACAGTGTCAGAGATTCTACTCTGACTATGAGGAGCATGCCGCGTTATACCATAGACAGGTCTTGCACGAATGTTAACTGTACTGGCGCGCATTCACGCGCACCGGAAACTTGCGAAGGCACTTAGATGAGGGGCAGTGCGAACCTTAATTGCTTGGCTGTGGTCGGTCGCATACCAGGGGCAAGCAAGGAAGATCGCACCACAAGAAGAACTGTCCGACTGTACGGGGACTGAGGCAGCCACAGGCACCTCCTGTAGTCTCTGGCAATGGAATTAACAATGGATGGCAGGCAACTACGTAAGAAACTAGACAACACTTTGACGACCGAGTGATCAGTGCTGATTGTTTGCAGCGATGCCGACGGAGAGGATGTGCCAGTTGATGAAGGTGTAGGCACCTCAGCCTTACGACCCAGTCCCTCGCAACTTATTTCCGAATACAGCATCCAAGCCACCACTACCATAGAACAAGGGAGCCGGGAATTCGAATCGCAGTGGGACAAGGCATCTGCAAACTGTCGATCCAAGTCGGACGCCCCGGCCATGCTGGAGCTTCTGACAAAGGTCTCTGTTGGACGACCCGTCACAACGGCTGGCGCATGGAACCCAGACCTCACAAGCCAGGCGATTGTGGTATGTACTATGGCCGAGGCGGTGGAGATATTCCACCAGGGTCCCCTTCGTATGCCTGTGCTCGTCAAAGAAGCCAGCGAGTCCTCTTCTCGGATGACGATCTCCAACTTCCTCGATACCCTCAGCATGAGAGATTCGCTCGACATTCATGACTTTAGCAAGCCTTTAGAGAAGCACAAGGATGGACAACCTATCAACGTGCACATGCCCGACAGATATCCATCAGCGGAGGTCGTGAGGATCTTCAACGAGCGGAGGACCAGCGACGGTCTGCCCGTCAATCTGCTCAACCTCGGTTGTCAGAAAGAAAACGCGGTACCGGCTTATTTCTCGAATAATAGAGACTACGATCCGATGCACATGCGGACGGACAACGGCAAGTTGGAGCAGCCGGAGTGGCGCGATCTAGACAACTGCTTGGTGTTCCACCTCCTCACGTCCAAGGGCGCCGCGCATTTGCAGCACGTCGACAGTCATGGCGTTTATACCACGGCGTTGACGGAGGTGACCAGGAAGCTGTGGCTGGTCTGGCTGGGTCTGGAGCTGGAGGATCTGGAGACTCATGAGGTGCCTGACGGAGGCGTTGCGATCTTGATAGATGAAGGGGATATGCTGATCCAGCCTACCAACATCCTGCATGTACCTATCACGCTGGAGGATATGTTAATAACGGGGACGATGTACTGGCATAGTTCCCACTTGCTTGATATACTAAGCCACACCAAAGCACAGGTCAAAGACCCGACATTAACGAATGAAACCATCGCGAGGCAGTTTCTCCCCAAGATGAAGAGTCTCCTCCGGCACTGGGAGGTAGACCTCGCCGACCCACCCAAAAAGCCGCCGTACACCTGGCCACCAGCCGAACCCCTAGCTGACTGCGTCAAGATTGTTCAGGTAGGTTTCACTTCGAATGCAGGGTTAGTGGTGCCTAATATATTCCGCAGTGGCTCGACGACGGTTGCAAGTGCGAAGGGCGGTGCGTAAAACGGACGAAGAAGGCGTGTAAGTGTAAGCAGATGGGGAGAGTATGTGACACGAGATGTCACTTTGCAGATGCAGATAAGCCGTGCTGTGTCGAGAAGCCCCGGGTTGCTCGCCTCGAAATATCATCCGAGACGGCGGGCAAGCGGAAGAATGGGCTAGGCTCGGGGCAGGGGACTAGAAAAAGTCAGAGGAACGATTGGTTGTCCTTAATAATGAAATAGTTAGTGTTGAATTCGGGTGAATTTGTATGGATCTATGCCTGCTGCTGACAGGAATAACGCCGAGTCTGTCAACAGCAGCGCTCCCATAAGACAATTTCATCTCCCGGATAAATGCGCTCTCTTAGGATATTAAGGCTTCATGGCCAATTCTTTTGATTCTTTTGAACAGCAATGGAATGTCAGAAGGAAAATAAGGCCATTCTCACCAATAGAAGCAGTCTATCTTAATATTGCGTTGGAAGATAAATGCGCTGCTTGTAACAATACAAGTCAGCCGCATCAGCAGCAAGTGAGCGTTGGAGCATGAAACGTGTACTGCACAGGAGAGTCATAGCTATTCTTGTCAACAGCATCATCCATTTTAATCTAGTCAAAGAGAAAGATCGCTTGCTGTCTGCAGGAATGCGGGGGTCATAGATCTCACTCATTGCCATCAGCAGCAATAAACTTTCGGCGGATGGAATCCTACTGCCGGTAAGAATGCAAGGCTGTTCTCATTAGCAGTAGTGGTATGAGATTCCAAGCTTGGAGCTGCTGCTGAGAAGAATACAGGGGTACAGTGGTAAACTCTTCTCAACAGTGGATGACCGATCTTTGTTAGCTTGTGGGGTTTATATAGGTACTGCTGGGTTCTTGATCGCTAGATTCTGGCATTGACTGTGTTCACTCCAGTAGCTGGCCATGCTCTTCTCCACCCCTCGGATTTCATGATCGTTCAACCTCTTTGTCTTTTAATATTTTATTTGGTCAACTGCGCGACTAATAATATCCGACTTTGACTGATACTCCATGACCAGCCAGAAGGCAAGCTTCAATCTTCTGGAGGTAACAGTACGTAATTTGGGGACGGAAATACCATGTATTGTTTATCAATTCCGAAACAGCCACATATAGAATCTTGGCTAATGTTCATTCGCCAGCCAGTCGAGATCTAGCCATATTGAGTGCTCATTCAAATATTGGGGGCCCAGAGAGGCGTCGCCTGGGTGATGTGCTATTGGTGATGCCGAGTCGCTACACCTTCCAGTGCTGTCCATCAGAGGGGGCCGGTCAAACGCCCCAAAGCCGCTTTATATTTCCGCCAAGTGACGAAAGGTCGCTTTGAGCAGTGATAAAATGGGAAGCAGAGGATAGATCTGAATGAAAGGCTGATGATTGAGGTGCACAGCACAGCACAGCACTACTGGGGAAAACGCATGGGCCTGCCCATGCGAATGCTTTGGTGGTTTCTAGTCAAGAGATGGAAATAAGTACAAGCAGATAAATGTCGTTTTGCCGTTCTTCCAAGACTTTAGTCATAGTTTATTTTTATTTGCTTCTTAATTTATCTCGCTCCGAGAGTCAGATACTGATGAGTGGCGAATAAGTCAACAGCCTCGGCCAATTCAGCCTAGTCTGTTAGAGCTTAATTACAGCATATCGTTGCCAGTCTTGTTTGCTGTCGCATACTCATCGCACAGACATCTCTATTGAACTCAAGATGCAGATGTCCGGGATCCAACTCTGAGTACGAACACGGTGCGACAGCCTCAAGCTCGCACAAATCGAGAGCGAAAGCCAAGTTCAGTGACGATTAGACCGGTCAATCCTCTGTTGTAATTCTCTCTGATAATGTATTAATATGAATTCCGAAACCTTGAATATCGTAAGTCTCATGCAAATGGAGCCTTGGAGCTCATTACTCTGGATTTATTCGCAATAACCGGTCAAAATTAACAAAGAACAATCTACTACCTAAATACATAAATCTTATCCTCGACTTGAATTATTATTACCAGAGGTAACGCTTATTGCTTTATCTGAGCGATAATCCACGTCACCCGTGTTAGCTGTCTTTGTGCGTGACAGGATCCAGGGTCAAGGCAGCTATTGTGAAAATAACTGGATATCATCGACTTGCTAAGATCTATATGGCACATTCTAAAAACTCCTATTCCTTATCACTTATATTGCAAGCCAGTATCACCTATTGCCCCTCTATTCTTCTCGCTGACATGCTTAACCTGCTGGGATCAGTTAATAGCAATTCATAACGTGGATATAGGCATACACCCTCACCGATAGCTCTACACCTTCTTTCCACCATCACACAGAGCAGTAGGGTTTATTTGAGCCTCCTCTTCGCCCTTGCAGTGGTTCGTAGCCTCATTAGAATCACCAGCGACGACAGGATTCTTGTCACGTGCAACATGATGAGAAGCCTCCTCTGATTCGTCTGTCTCGTCTTCGGAATGCATCGGAGAAGCTGGCGGAGAACTCTGAGGATCTAGATCCTCCAAGATATCCTTCATTAGAAGCTCGATTTCCTCGGGGAAAGGCGCAAATGGCTTGCTGTCTTGATAGATAGGGAGCGTAATATCATCGCCGGGCACTCTGATCTTCTTCCAAGGAGGAAGAGGTACCTCTGAGATGTCTACATTGTTGTCCTGAGAAGAGACCTTGCGCTTCATGGTCTTGGTGGGGTTGTTGGAAGACATTATCTTGGAATAACTGTGATCTTGGAGACTTTAAGATGCCATAGAATATGATATATTAAACTGTGGAGTTTGGGGTTTTGTCCTTTTAAATATATAATCATTCAGTTGTACTTATGTTACGTTTAATCCTTCATATCGTCACATGCCAACAGACAGGTTTAAGACTATAAAGACAAAAGACAGTAATAACAAAGGATTCTTTATGAATGCTGTTAAGAAGGCTATGCATTACATAGAGCAAACAGGAGCAATCACTTGCAGCGGACCATTGACTTTATACTGACTTTTGTGGTCTCTTTGTAAATGTAACTTTCTAGCCTCCCAAAAACCAGGGTCTTGTTGAAGAAGCAGTCGGGTTGCTGCAGACCCTCAGATGCAGAGGACAAAGGATGAATTCAATGAGCTTTGATGCGACAGACTCTCTGCTGCAGTAGCCACATCAGTATCGGTGCTTAAAGTTACCATAGCCGCAGCTATCTGTCTCGCCGGCTACTCCGATTGATGAGAGTCCTGGGTGATATACTGCTGCCACAATGCACGGACAGATATCATTGCGCAACGCGTTCTTCATCTCCAGTGGCTGAAAACGTCGTACAATTAGATGTTTATTTCTTTGTTCTAGAAATAAGACGTGAATTTAGGCTGTCTCTCCCACACCAAGATTCACACTCTCGCTTTACAATAGCCCCGTTTCCCCTTCCCCCTGGGGGATTTTATTGGTTCTGCGATGACTGATGTTATTATCGCTTTTGACGAAACCTCAACGTCTGTGGATTTGACTCATCGGTCAACCTTACTCATGAGACTTTGCCCCCTGGCTGTAGATCTGACTCCCCTTTGGGCTCTCCGGTCTGGGGTCTTCCAAATTACTCCGCTGGGTCTGCTCAGAAACAGTAATTATCTTTGGCTGTAAGGTCTGAGCAATTATCCATTCAGGCTGCGGGTGTGTTCCTTGGGAACACACCTCATGTTCCTCCAGAGACTATGGGACTTGACATATATTTCTGTGGCCCCCGTTGACAGGAGAATAAATGTTTGATGTCCACTTGGCAATCCGGCTGACTTGCGCCATTGAACTTCTGAGATTCTATCGATGATATTAGGTATCTGTTTTAACGCTATAAAGCAGGTAGAGTTGGCCAAATATCTGGGTACTCTTATTTCATCGACATCCAGACGAATACCGAGGACGTGTGCAATAACATCATAGAGGGGTTGCGCAGTCAGTCGTTCTCATCAATAGGCATGGTTAAGCCCGGGACAGTGCTCCACTACCAGACTTAGTAAAAGCCCGCAACCAGGGGCGTGTCAGTAAGGGTTTACGCCGACAAGAATAGCGCCGAGATCGGCAACAAGCTTATAGATCCTCACGGGTCAAATTCACGGTCAAGGGCGTCATCACCGTCGAGAGGCCCAAGCCGAACATGTTCATGTCCAGGAAGACGTTGGCCCAGGGGCTGGATCAGGGAGATGGACATTATACACAAACACGTGTGAGACTCAGGTCCATGAAGAATCCCATCAACGACCACACCGTCACGGTCGTTGGAGAACGCATGACCAAGGTCGAGCTCCCGGAGGGGTACGTAAGCATGGACGGGAATAGGATCGAGTTCGAGGACACGCACGGGAAGATGAGGACGGTCAAGTGCAACTGAGGCATCGAGTGGATCATGCAGGTCAGGTATATGCCTGCCCTCAAGCAGCACTCCCCGAGCGAGCCCGTGATGTCGTTGGAGGCCCCGAGGGGGACTTACAGGCCGGGCGCGCCCAGGACGACAGGGGCACAGCTGATCTCGACGATGATGCGGAACCTGACCAAGAACGCGACCAAGGCCATCTCGAGCAGCGGGTTATCGGACTTCACCAAGTGCTCAGTCTGTTCGCAGGCCTACAAGTACTACCCGCGGGTGAAGCCGACTAAGATCACCGCTGCGGTCATGCATCACGCGTTGAAGCTAAACGAGTTCGCGACTAAGGCTATGATCAATGACGGGAAGCGTGCTCACGCTCAGGCTTTACACCTCAGACACACTTTAGTACACCAATATGGCCCTGTCTGTGTTCTTGACGTCACTTGTGTCTACGTGCAGGAACATGTCCTTGACCCTATGCAGATTCTCGACCGAGTTCATGCTCAGGATCGGTTCATATGACGTCAACTTACCAAACGTCGTGGTTAGGTAGGACCTCCCACTGCTGGTCTTGACGACGTTTATAGTCACAGGCATTTACCGACCCCATTCATGGGCATGTTGTCGTGCATGAGACCGCATCCGTACCTGGAGACACCCAAGAACTCCAGCGTGTTGATAACCATGATGTGGTAGGAGATGCTGAACGAACAGACGGTCAGGATCTCGTGTAAACTCATGACCGTGATCACGTCTGCTTGACTCAAGAAGTCATCAGACCTCCCTGAAAGGTACAGCACGCATCTGGCATTATTCGTGATCGAGATGATCTGCTTGGACAAGTCCCTATTCAGGTCGTAGGGCACAATCCTCCTTAAATGTCTGTTCCTCTTGACCCTCATGACGTCGATGTTGGGTACATCGGAACATATCAGAACTTGCCATCTCATTAATCTCCTGGAACCTACCAGCGCTAAACGAAATGATTCTATACCTACCGATGGACGCGTTCATCGGCGCCACTTCATACATCGTTCTCCTTATCTTCAAGGGCATGATCTTAATGTCGTACAGGACCGTAATTATGCTCGTGTCCGCGATGACGCTCGTGAGCTCCCTTCTTATAATATCTATAGTTTTAGGATTCGTGTTGATGAGCTTCATTCCCGAGCTCAATATCTCGACAATATAGGGATTCAGACCCCTCCCAATTCACGATAAATAGCTCACGGCACAGAAGAGACTTACCACAAATTTCCCAAAATCAAGGATGATCCTATCTCCACGCCAATGCACTTCCATCAGCAATGCACTTCCATCAGCAATGCANCAATGCACTTCCATCAGCAATGCACTTCCATCAGCAATGCAAGGACTACCAGTCTAGGTATCTCGACCACGCTTTTCGGTGGGAAGGGGAATACAAGCAATAGCCAAAGGTCTTTTGAGGCAGAATCACCGACGGTACAGACGAGGACATGACCGAGAAGCGTAAGATGTCCCAGAAGAATTATTGTTCCCACAAGATCACCGACTTAACTTAAGGGGGAATAAGTGCACAACCTGGCGTTAGTCTAAACCCTTTCCACGGAGCCGACGCATGCTAGCTTTTCTAAGAGAATGTGCTTTATGTGCGGCGAAACCCGATGAGGCTATGTTATATGCCTTGGTATTGCCAAGCGCTACAACTCAATCCAATCATTCGATTGCACCAAGTGTTGACCTTCGTATAGTAGCGTTGACAAGACAGAACAAACTGAAGTCAGCAGTTAATTTATTACATACATTCAGTTCTAACCGCAGCCTGCAGAAGGAAGACATATTATCATTACGGCTCCACGACCTCTAGGTTCTGATATAATGCATCTCTATTATTCCAGCTAGCTCCCCTCTTTTTTGTCTAATATCCATTATACCAAAGCAGTTTTCTGGATATTGTCACAAGCCAGACTCCGCAAGGCACGCACATATAACCAAGCCATCCGAATCTACAACCTGATTTATATCCACTGTTCAAACCGTCAACACTCCTACCTTGTTTGAGCTCTCTGCGTGAGGTCATGCTGCCTTCGTCAGGGGTACAACTCGATAAATTTACAAGCCAACAACATCTACATTTCGTACATAAGTTGATGCTACGCTGACCCTTAATACTACGTCTCTATTAGCTTTAAGGATTTGTGGTTGTATTTAGCGAATAGAAAAGCAAGAAAGAGGCTTGGCTTTACTAACAGAATTGCTGCTATATATAGACCTCAACCTAATTTAGCCTTATACTCTGGCCTTAAACTTTAACTGAATTATACAAGACTATTTTAAGTAGTATAAAAATATAACAGTTTAAGGGAATTTAATAAATAAAATTTAAAAAAAAAAAAAAAAGCAAAGCTTAATTCTCTAACTATACCTCCTAAAGCTTACTAAGGCACTAGCTTTAGTTATTTCCCATCACACCAAGTATATACGTTTTGGTAGTAATATCTATATCCAGAACGGCGATTTCCTCCTCAAGCAGAAAATGGCAATCACGCAATCTACCTTCTTCAGTTTTCCAATCGACAAGTCTCTTATGAAATTCATCGACATCACGGCATTTCTCCTTATCCGTGATGGGCTGTCCGACATTGTCGGACGACTGACCACGAAGGACTTTTGCTTTGTAGGAATCACCGTAGGCTTTACGAGAACGCTCGAGATCCTTTAGCTTCTCCTCAATCTGTGCCTTCTTTTCCTCCTCCTTCCCCTTCGATTCAATGGCCGTATCTAGCGCGGTATTGATTTCCTTTTCAATAAGCCTTTTGAAGGCATGCCGTCTAAACGTGAAGAGGTCCTCGATGAGGACAGTCCGATTTGTGTCCCACTCAGTGGGATACTCCACAGGCTGTCTGTTGTATGTATCGTCAAGGTCAAAGCAACCATTAATAACTCTAGCGAGTTCGATGGCTTCCTGTATAGTTGAGTTAGCACATCGACTGGTATTTTGGAAATAGAATGTTAGTATCTGGCGTGCACGACGGCTGTCAGCATCCCTCAGGGCAGATGCATCCATGTCCATTGTTAAATACGGAGGAGTCAGTGTAAGTATGTTGGTGGTGTTGTATTGTCTCTGAGGCGTGTGAATGAATTGTCGAAATGCAAGGGGTAAGAGAAGCAAAAGCCGCTGTCTGTTAGATAGTCTTTATTATCTCTATTGTAGTTTATCCTGTATTTATGCAAAATAATCTTGCCCCGTAATTCACTTATGTACTATTGTATATTGTGATTCTTTGTTTTTGCATATTTATGTTCGACCATATAGAATATTCTCCTTTGTTTAGAGTTCTGTTCAGACAAGTTAGGTATGATTAATTCATGGCGAACACAACCCAGCAAGGATTTCACACTAGACACAAAGTAGATGTTCAAGCCTTGATTGAACATGGAATAATATCAGTAATTATATTTACACCCATAACAGCTTGTTTGCTTCCTACTTACCTGCTTTGCTAGGAAAACCTTACAGTAAGTATGTATAATATTTACATAACAGTATAATATAGTGTTATAAATATTAAAAATTGCTAACAATTTATAAGCAGTTTATTATAACTAAATAGCGTATTATACTATAGTAATTAATTAGAAATGTTAATATAATATTTTAGTTATTAGCTAAATGTATTATTTATAGCAGAGAGTTATAGTTAAGAACTTAAATTACTATAAAGAACTTAGCAATTAAGTAGCTATATTAAAAATTATAAAGTAAATAACTATTAGTAATAAATACTTATTAATTAAATATATTTATAGAATATAAAGATAAGTATTATAACCCTAGCGGCTATATTATATATAAAGCAGGACCTCTATAAAACCTAATTAATCTTACTATAATAACTAAAACTAACCTTCTACCTATATAATTTATATTAAATTAATAAATATTAAAATAATTAATATTAAATTAATAGCACTTTAAAAATGCTATACTTTAAAGATAATAATAACTTTACTTTATATTACTTTTATTTAAATTGTAACGGTTAGGTTTCTAAACAGGTAAACTAGTCTATATTAGGTTTATGTTTGCAGGGTATATAGGGCGTTATACTGAGCACGTTAGTGAAGTGTCACGTCTCTTAATAGTTAATAGTGTGGGTAAGGCTTATTGAGGTAAAGAAGTGTTATTAATAGCTGGTAAGCTAAATTCTATCTACTGCTAAATAAATATATATATATATTATGATGTATGCAAGTTAAACGGGGTCGGTTTGACTCTGTTCGTGACTGTTTGTCATGCAAGTCGAATGGCATGCGTTTGACCAGTACAGGGTAGGTAGTTCTTAATTGGGTGAAAAACAGTGGGGTGCATATGTACGTGCGTAAGATTATGTTAGGTCGTAACATAAATACTTTAAATATATAAAATATATTTATTTAGCATTTTTATAAATTCTAGCCTATTAATTATTAATAAAACTTCTTTATATTAATTAAGCCTAATATATATTAAATTTACTATTAAGAGATATAATACTTTAATAACTACTTAATATTATACTTTATATAATTTATTAATAATAAACCTAAATATAGCTTAATTTAATATAATTAAATCTAACTGTTATATATTAATAGCTTTTATTTAGACTGTATTATATTATATTAAATAATATAAATATAATATCTATATTAATTTAATTTATCTAATAGTATTTTACTGTTTTTATTAATAATAACCTTTTTATTAATTAAATTATAAAGAATAATAAAGATAATTTCTTTAAAGAAAAAGATAAAAAAGTTACTTAACTTTAATAGTAAGTTATTAATATAACTATTAAAATAGCTAAACTTTATTAAATATTTATAAAAACAATAAATCTTTAAGCCTAATAGGTAATTAATAATTAAAATAGACTTTAAGAAATATAAAACTTTATAAGTACTATAGTAATAAGTAAAGATATTAAAGAAATACTTAAGCCTAATCTACTTAAATTATTTAATAAAACCTTTAATAAATTAGCTATATTTTTTACTTAATATAAAGCCTTTATAGTTTATTACTTAACTTAATTTAAAAAAGACTTTATTAAAACTATATATATTATAAGATGCCTTAAAGGCATTACTATATAATAGTTTTAATTTATTATAGAGAACTATATTAATAAACCTAAATTAAAATAGTAACTTTAAATATTTATACTTTATAATAACTTTAATATATTTAAAAATATACTTAAATAAGTATTTAAAATAATTAATAAAAAAGGATATATTAAATAATATATTAAATCCTTAAAGTAAATTAAACTAGCTTTTAAGTATATAGTAAAATATTAATAGCTAATATTAAAGCTACCTTAAAATTAAAATATATTTATATTACTCTTTTTTAATAGACTTAAAAAAACTATTTAAATAAAACTATATAAAATATCTAAATTTAATATATTAGTTAAATATATTAAAATAGCAGTAAAAATTAATAATTACTAATATATATAAAGAATTTAAAATAATAAATATAATTTAAGATAATAAAAAAATAAACCTTATTATAATATAAACTAAAARAGATAATAAAATAATAATACCTCTTATAGAATTAAATTTAAATTAATAACTATTAGAACTATAATTAAAAATAAATTAAAACTTATTTATTAAAACTATAATAAAAAAGATTATAAAGACCTTAAATATAAAAACCCTATTAAAATTAATTAAAAGTATAAATTAATATTTTATATYTTAAAAAGTAAAAAGGTAAATACTATTAAAAAGAATAAAGATAATAATAAACTATAAATAGCTATTAAAACTATTAATATAATTTAATTTAAATATAATAGATCAGGACTGCCTAACTTTACTTAAGTATATAATTTATTTTTAAATAAAAAAGAAATACTTAATAAGTATTATTTAAATATTCTTAAAAAATAAAAACTAATTTTAAGATATATTATATTAATAATAGAGATTTTATATTATAATAGCCTAAAAAAATAAAAAATAAAAATAAATAAAAATAAAAAGAAATTATATTATAAAAAAAAAAGAAAAAGAAATTAACTTTAACCTAAATAATGAATTTAATATTAACTTAATCTTTAATAAAAGTATAAATAAAATACTATTATAAATATTTAATTAAATAGAAGTATCTTTTAAAATAAAAAAAAATACTATTTAATATAATCCCTACTTAATAATAGATAATATTTCTATTAAAGTTATAATAAAATAACTTAATTAATATTATAATAATTTAAACTATATATTAGCCTTAAGAGTTATTTAAGACTTTAAAGCTAAAAAAATTAAAAAAAAGGTAAATTAAACTATATAGAATATAAAATATATATTATAGTTTAATAAATTTAATAATTAAGTTTAATATAATAAAGCGCTTAAATATATAAAGCTTATTAAAAGAAAAGTAATTATAAAATAAAATAATATTATTTATATTTAATTATATATAAAAAATAAAGTAAAAGACCTAATAATACTTAAAGAAAAAATTTAAGCTAAAAAAGATTTTTAAAGGTATTTAAATTACTTAAATTACTAATAGATATCTTAAATATTATATATATAATATTACTGCCTATAATATTAATAAAATATAGAAGTAAATAATTACTTTTTAATATAAATTAAAAAATAGAAAAAATAAAAACTCTATTTAATTATTAATACCTTAAGATATTAAATTACTAAAAGATATAAAGAGACTTAAGTAATTAAGTTTATAGTATATATTAAAATATATAAATAAGCCTTAAATTATATTAAAAACTTTAAATATATTATAAAATAAAGAAAATATATTTAAAATAAACTAAATAAAAAAGAGAAAAACCTAAATAAAGATATTTATAAAGCTATTATAAAAGTAAATAGGCTAAAAAGAAAATAAAATAATACC